AATCTTCTGAAAAATCTCTGGAGGGTGCTAGGTCACAAGTGCTTATTGAGAAGCATTGTCTCCCAAAGTTGTTTATTGAATGTTATAGATGTTGGCGGAGACCCATCCCCTGGAATATGCCTCAGTCCTGGGCCCTCTAAATCTGCCATGGAGATATGATCGTATAAAACAAATGGAAAGCTACATCAAAGGATGTTTCTCAATGTAGAAATAAAATCAGTAAACTGCAAACATCCAAGGAAGAAAGTAATGTACTCATGAAGTTTGCGTTGTCTTACACTTTGTAAATGATTCCCTCAGAAAGCATTAACCTTCTTAGATAATGTCAGCACAAATTAATGTCATCTAAGGCACCAGATACCTCTAACTATGCTGAATAGGGTCCCCACATCTTTCTCCAATATGTGCTTAATATAATTCAATGATTAGATATAAGGGAGTACAACTTACTTAGCTTTTTGTAGGTGAAGAATGATTTCTTCTCCATTTAATCTAAGCTGATACTGAACTTCATGTAGATCAGTTTCCTGAAAAATTTTAAATAGTGCAAGTATACCATATGACTTATATTTCTGAATATAATGTCATGTTTAGTACAAATTAGAAATGAACACATGTAAACAAATAACAGTTCTCTTATGCCTTTAAAATTTCCAAAATAAAGTATAACTTTCATATTAAGAAGGACTTCCTAAAAGTGCTATTACATAATAGCAATGCAGAATAAACTAGCTTTGGTACATAAGAAAGGGAGTTACCATTTGTTCCAGTATACAATACACCACCACGCTGCATACATAATTGATCACCAACAGGAGAATTATAGGACACATATTTTTACTTTAAATGCAATTTGTAATTCCACTAGTAATTAAATAAGATGGAAACTTTAAAACGAGTGAAATTTGCAACAATACGGTGGTCAAAAAGTTGATAATTTGATATATGGAAAATAACAATGTTGCCAACTACTGAGATAAAGTTGAATGCTCTATTAAAGACAAATGACTTAGAAATACAGAAAACAGTTCATTGGGCAAAGGGTTAAAGGTGAGGTGGAGATGAGAATTTGGAGAATCCAGGACACAGCCCCATCTCCTCCACATCTTCCCTTTCTGGGGTCCTTGTGCCCCCCACAGATTGGAGGAAATGTCCAAGTACAGCTTAACTGCAAAACCATTTTGAGGAATCACATGATCTCTCCTAAAAAAAAAAAAAAAGGAACTCTACACTTGGAGATCAAAACAACTATTCTGTGTGAACTGTGACATCACTTTAATGAGTAAAAAGGACTTCATTTTGTCTCCAGATGACTGTAATATCTATGACAATCCTGCACATTTCTTACCTCTTTACCATGTTTCTCTGTCTGGTTGTTCTCTACTCCTCTTCTAGGTAAATAATGCAGTATTTTAGGATGAAGTATTTCTTGGAGGTCAAACTTGGGAGTTTGGTTTATGGCCATTGCTAGAGAAAGAAAGTTAATACTGATATAAAACATTGAAAAGTATTTTTTAATTTTGGTTTGATTATGTGTTTTGTACAGAGAATAAGAAAGAGTAGTAAATTCCTGTCTAGAGAGCAACAGTAAGAACAAATTGATTCTCTTAACTTAATTTCTCTCTGTCTCTCTGTCTCTCTCTGTCTCTCTCTCTGTCTCTCTCTCTGTCTCTCTCTCTCTCTCTCTCTCTCTCTCTCTCTCTCTCTCTCTCTCTCTCTCTCTCTCTCCTACATAGATAACCTAACGGTGAAACAATTCTTTGCATGTTTTTGTATGTAAGTACTGGACCATCATGACCTGAAATAGAAATTAAGGAGAGTGACTGGTGAGCCAGGAATTCTGGGTAATGTAATCCGGTTTCTTCTTCCTCTACCATCCTTTTAAAATAAATCTTGAAAAATCCTTTCAAGGCATCTGCTTTCCTTTTTCTTTGTCTTGTTCTTGCTGTGAATCAAACCCTTTATAAGAACTGCAGTTACCAAATTTTTCCCATACAGGTAAGATTCGCAGAGGCTGCAATGATTCAGTGAACTTAGCCAACTACCTGAAGCCATAGACTTCTTCATTTCATTAGCCCCATCCTTCAAGACTGGAGATCTCACAGGAAATGTTTTGGTTCGTCTCTCTTAGAGGAGTTTTAAAGCAACAGAAAGCAAGTGGAAAAAGTTTTTAAAGTCAAATAATCATCCTTGATGTGCTTGAAATTACATCACATAGACAAGTTTCGTTTGTTTACAAGTAGAAAATAACACGTCTTGTAGTCAGAAGAACTGGTCTTATATCCTAAGTAAATAGGCCTAGAGAAGTAACTTTTCCTTTATAGCTTTTATCATCAAAAAAGAAGCTGGTTTACAGATTTAATAAAACATAAAATTTCTTAGTATCATTTTAAGAAAATGAGAGCACACCTTTCTCTTCTTTATAATCATCCAATCATTCATATAAGGACATTCAATTAAGGTTGTGCATATGTTTCACACCAAAGCATTTGGCCTCAGAGCCACTGTCCTGCTCACTGTGACAATTCTAGGCCTTGTTAGGACATCAAACAGTGCTACCCCTGCTGGACAAGGGGGATCTGAAGGGAAACAGTAAAAGCTGCCGGAGCTCTGCTGCAGCGCTATCCGGAGAAGATTTCCTCATGCAGAGAATCTAGAACTGCATTAGTAAGTACCCATTTTTCAAATGGCAATAGGAACCCATTACTGAAAATAGTCATAGACTTGAAATTAGAGTGAATTTTAGTAATATCTGGTTCCAATTTTAACGCTGGCCATGTAATTTTGGGAAAGCACTTGTTTACCTCATTGCTTCTTTATTTGGATTTGAGGCCATTTTCTAAGCATAGCTTGCAATTTGATTCTGTCAAAGGCCTTTGTAAGACTTCTAAACTAAAAATCATATCCCGTAGTGTCTCTTTTGTGTTATGAGCAGAATATATTTATTGAGAGAAAGAAAGCTCCTGTCCTGAGAGAGACAGGAGGGGGGCGCCAAACAGGTAGTCCCCCCCCCCAGTAGTGTCTCTTATGGAACATAAAGATCAAAATGAAGAAAGATCTAATGAAATTCCAAGTCCTTCATTCTCAAAAGTGTGTCATTTCAGCAATGGAGACATTGAGATGATAGTTTACTCTTACATTAACTAGAATGTCTCAAATCACCATGTCTGATTTTTACCATAATCACAGCAAAATACAGTGTAAACGTGCTACATTCTTCTTGAGACAGTAGGAGCCAAACTCTGATACTACTTTTAATATGGAAAATCAGATATTCATCCAACAAATATTTAATGAATACTAACTCAGCTAATCATAGTTTGACATGATTGAGTTAAATCAATCAATAGCATAGACTGTGGTCCTTGTTTATAGAATTCACATTCTGTTTGTCTATTGGCTAATCTATCTCTCAGCATCTAGATAGATTGTCAGATATATTCTATGTATTATTAATAAATCAACTGCACATTGGAATATGATAAGTACCATAGTGATGAGATATCAGAATAAAGCAGAATTTGAATGTGGGGATGGAGGTGGATGTTTGAATGTTAAGTAGGATAATATAGCATCATTTGGGACTATGTGGTTTTAGAAAACCAAATGCAAAGAGCTGGAGTAGCAGAGATCCTGCTTATAGGAGGCTCTGAATTCAATCTCCAGCAAATAGATCAACAGACAAAGAAAAATCCAAGAGTAATGATAGAACTAGCAAGATTATTTTATGAGGTATACATATGTAGAGACATTGTAAACTATTACTTAAATCACAGCCTTGAATATGAGTGCTTTTAAAGCACTCATTTTGAATAAATGGTTTTAAAAAGCCTTCACTGAACTTTCTTTTAATAATAAAGCACAATTATTTAAAATCATTCTATTTTATCCCTTCTTTAGGTGCAGTATTAGTGCTGAACAATATAATAGACACATGAGAAATGTAAGGTCTAGAGCCAGTCTTCTATACAACTTGTATGTGGCATTATTAAACAAGGGATAATTTTGCAGTGAGCTTTACATAAAGCTTTAGATACATACTTTACTTCTGGTACAGGATTTACTATAAATGTGTCCACACAAGGAAAGGTCATGTTCAAAGTACTCTTTACGTAATTATCAGCATTTACCTTTGACCCTAGGGACATATGCCATTTTATTAAGGGTACTTCATGCATCTATTAAATAATTTGAGCTTGGTGTAAGATGCGATTCAATTGTGCTTACCTTGCGTTTGAACGATGATGCTGAGCACACAGAGCGAGACCAGAAACATGCTGGTTACTGCAGGCAGCTTGGAAGATTCAGGCAGTGTGAAGTTGTGGCCTCCCTGTCTTGTGGATTTATCTTTTCCTACTTCTCTTTATAAATTACAAAAAGCAATAAGACCTCAATTTTTTCTTGTGAGATTGAGGAACATTTCTTAATGGTATTGGGAAATCGCCGAGAAATAGCAATGATGACACCATGGGAATGTTCCTCATTTCTGAGAGGTATTTACTTCTGTGGTTACTGCTCATTAAAACTCACATCTGGAGTGTGGGCCCTGATACTCTGGTGGGAAGGTACAAACTTATACTGAAGTGTCACATGTGTATGTAAATATACATCTCTATATATGCACATCAATATTCTGTGCATATTTTGGGAAACTGGCACAGAGAACACAGAATCCCTGAAACAAATACCAAGTAATTTCTTGCAAGCCAGAATATTGTAAATCTGATTTCAGACTCCTTATGTGTGAAAAAGAACATACTAATGATAAGAGCATGTCAGGCTCTTGAAAACTTTGTATAAAATTATACCTTCACACATCTGTATGCGCACACAGGCGGAACTATGAAGCAATGTGCAAATTTTATATTCAATAATAATTTTATAATGTTAGCATTGACCAAAGAACACTACATTTGAAGTATGGTTGAGGTTTACTACAAGTTCTACTTATGAAAAATGATGTTTTTCCAATTAGCAAAAATGATACATTGTCACGGTGGTAAATGTGATCAAATTATGTTGAGGAAGAAATGTTGATAACCCAATGGCCCAACATCAACAAATGACTTCTGTTACCATTGGATAATTTGTTTTCATCTCTTTTTTCTACATCAATAAGTAGACAAAATATGAAAAATTATTTGAACATACAAAGGCATTAAAAATCTGATGCTTTTGCATAGCATTGTAGCACAAATATTTCCATGATGTTGTATATCAAGACATTTCAATTATCTTAAAATTTTGAGTTTTTACATATAAGTGGATGTGTAGTTTTTTTCAATTCCAAGTTAAGTTCACAAAAGCAGTGTTGCGTTGCTCAAAAGTATGAATAAATTTGAGGTAGCTTTATCACTAAAGACTAAGAGAAAATCAGGAATAGATTAACACTCATCAGCATTCCCTCCGTACCACTTCATATAGTTTTGTCAGATATTTTAGTTTTCTATGTCTTTGACCACTGTTTCACATTACTTTGAGTGTGTGACTGATTCACAAAATGTGTGAAATTATTCAGATAGAAAATGAATTATTTGCTCAAAGTTACTTTTAGTAATTTTTTCTCCTTAAACAAAAACCTTCTTCTGTGTCAAACATTTTGATAAGCCCTTTTCATTATTTAAAAGCTTTAATAAATTAAGGCTTACTTGGAGTAGACATCTTCATTAATTTTTCTGAGTATATCTTTTTTGCTATTCTTTCTTTTGTGGTAGCTAAGCTGGCTGTACAGTTTAAAGATAATAATTAATGTCTCCCAGAACTTCAGAGTTATTATTGTGACTATAATTTGGAAACTATTGCTATTGATAATACTGTCTATAGACTAATGGAAATTTATTTTTCTTATCAATTATATAACTAGTATAATTTGAAATATCAATTGCGTATTTTATTTTTTTAAATTCATGCATTTGGTACAGGGTCTCACTACACAACTCCGACTCATAGTGATCCTTCTGTTTTCAACCTCCCCAGCACTGGGGTTACAGGCATGTGCCACCATGCCCGGACTGATCTGCTTGCTCAGCATGCCCCAGGGGTGGGGCCTATGCAGCATGTGGGACTGGGGATTGACCCCAGGTCCCTGCGCTTGCCAAAACAGCTGCTTAGCCTGCTGAGCTATCTCCCTGGCCCTTACAATTGTATATTTTTGAGTTCATATTAAATGAGCTCATGTTAAGCTTAGATTGCTACTACTGTGATTCTGTGAATATCAAGATAACTCTAGAGTGATCCTTGCTCTTGAGATACATCTATAATAGTCTGTTATTGGAGAAAAAGCCCAAGCAAATAAAATCTGCACAAATAAGAAGTATTATGATGGAGGTATATATATACCATATTTGGGTAGGTTTAGAAGGGATGGAAAGTTAAATTCTATTAGCTGGAAAAGAGTACAAGACTTGGGTACATAATCAAGTCATCTACAAAACTGATGTTTGTTGAACTATGATATGGTCACAATGGCTTTAATGTAATACATAAGGTAGCTGGTGTTCTCATAAAGTGTGTGATATTGGCAGTGGAAAAATTATGGGGGAAATAGTAACCTACATAGCTCAAAAAATTATCAAACTTTCTGATTATTTGGCTATAGCAACTGAAGGAGACAGAGAAATCTGGAGTGAATTCTAGGCCTCAACTTGAACAGCATATGAATATTAGAAATGAAATGTGGTGGATTGCTGGGGGCTGTAGTTTGGTCCAACCCAGTGACAGAAGATCTAGTTCCAGGAATACTCTTCAGGAAAACAGCATTTTAAAGATAATAGTTGCTTAAAATAATCTTTGAGTGTATACACCATAAAGAAGTTTGAAAACAACTGTCTCAGAGAGGATGGGTGTTGTTTATTAAATAGTTGCATACCAGTCTATAAATTAAAATTAGAGGAAAAACAGTGATGAAATTGTTTACTCAGTGTATCTGGAGAGAATCAGAAATGGCATAACTTAAAATCCTTATTCAATACAATATTAAAGGATTAACTAAACATGAGATTTAATTTATGACGATAAAACTAGTGAATCATTATGAACATTCTGATTACAAAGAATCTTGCAACTTAACATTTTGGAATATTTCATAATAGTGTAATTTTGTTTTGGGAAACATGATTTAATATTGTCTAGCCAGAAACAAAAATATAATAGCACAATGAAAATAAATTGCAATAATCTCAGAAATTTAAGGATTTTTCCATATATCATCTCTATTTGATCATCATAACAGCAGATATAAATAACATCTCAATTTCGATTTTGGGTGTAACTACAAATATAATTTCAAACTATGTAGAAGAGCTGTAGTCTCCTATGCTATTGTTAAGGTAGGAAAGAGATGCTTCCTATCAGAACTAAAGAATTTCTGGCCAGTGAGACAGCTCAGTGGTCTAAAGCGCCTGCTTAGGGAAGCTTAGGCAGGCATAGGGAACCACAGGTGGATCCCTGGCAACATGTTCTGCACCAGCCCCACCCTCAAGGCAGGCTGAGTGGGCCAAAAAGGAAAAAAAAAAAGAACTAAAGAATTACAAAATTTTTTGTGAGCCATCTCTTTAATGGTTTCAGTTGCTCAAAAACAAAGCCTATTCCAAGACTATAAGAAGAGTCAGAAGTCCTTCTTGGGTGAAAGGTTTGAAATGGTGGTAGTGTAATAGTATACATAGTCTGGCTACAATTTCAGTTCTGTATTGAGTGGCAATGGTAACCAAGGGCATCCATGTCCTCTTCCTGGTCTTAAAACAATGCTTTAGGTTTTTATTTCCATTTGGGATGACGTAGGCCTTGTCATATTATAGACTTTATTATGGTGAAGTGCAATCCTTGTATACCTACCTTGTTCAGGAAGTTTTATCATGAAGGGATGTTCAATTTTACAAATGTTTTTTTCATCTGAAAATTTCTATGATTTGTGTAATTTATTCTTTTGATGTGATGTAACACAATTATTGATCTGCATATTTTTAACCATTCTTGTATACTGGGATAAATCTCAGTTGGCCATGCTGAACAATACATTTAACATACAGTTGTGTATATCTTGCTGGCTTTTTTTTTTTAGGATTTCTTTAGCCATGTTCATTAAGCTCATTGGTATATAGTTTTGGTTTGGATTTTATCTTTCTCTCATTTTGGTTATAGAATAATGAGTTTACAAGAATTCCCTTCATTTCAAATGCCTGAAACAGTTTGAGAAAAATAATTTTTTTTTCTCAAACAAGTAAAATTCTATTTTATTTTTATTTTTAAAGCTAGTAAAATTCAGCATAAAACCATAAAATCTTCCAACCTGGTAGTTGTTGTTGTTGGGAGACTATTTACTACTGACTAACTTCTGTTACTTGTTCCTGGAATATTCAGATTTTTATGTCCTTATTGTCTAATTTTGGAAGGAATGTCTATTTTTTATTTGACACTTTGAGTTTCACTTTCAATATTTCAATTGTTTTCCAAGCTGCCTGTCTCTTCTTTAATTCTTTTGTTGTCATCATGAATTGTTTTCCAATTTCACTGAGTTATATGTAGAGTTTTACTCAGTGTCCTTACAATCATTCTTTATCAGGCATTTTGTGAATTTTCTTTTCCTGAAAGTCTGCTGCTGAAGGGTGACTATGTTTCTTTGTGGGAGGGGGGCTGTTGTGATTTTTTTCATATTGTTCATGACCTTACATTGAGATTTATGAATCTGGAAGGTCAATAGTCTCTACCACTTTTATTAGGTAGCTTTTATAATAAACACTTCTCTCCTAAGAATATATTTTGGAGTAGAAATTTAATAAGTTACATTTAATTTGGTTTCAGTTGTACATGATTTTACAATCTCCCAATATTTCTTTGTGTGTAACCAATGGATTTGGGCCCAGGCTTTCCACCTTTCGCCACTGTAACCAAGGAAGGAGAAATAACATTCATTGATGCCCGGTAGGAACTGAGGTACCAGCCTTGCTGAGCCTTGTCTGATACCTCCCCACTAGGAGGGTTGGGGGACTTGGAAACCCCAGAGGTGTGGTGATCCATCACCTAGTGCATTTCTACTATGTTGTGGGAAACACTTTGTATTGTTTCTATCTTTTAAAAGTGTAAGGTTTTGGATTTTTTGTTTGTTTGTTTGTTTGTTTGTTTAGAGATAGTATCTCCCCATGTAGTTCAGATTAGCCTTGAATCCAGTCTGGCCTCGAACTCATGAACTCATGGTGATCTCCTGCCTCAGCCTCCCAAGGGCTGGGATTATGGGTGAAAGTGTAAGATGTTAATCAGATGCTAGCTCTTGCAGTGAAAGAGTGATTCTTTAAATTATGGGCCTTCTATGGTCATTTGACATAGTACTTTTATGTATCAATTAAACTAAATCACTTGCCTTATTGATGGTATTGTTCAAAACTTCTTTAAGATTACTGCTAATATTTTTTCTGGTTAACCTAATAATTCCTGAGATAGATGTGAAATTGCCTTATATATGGTCTTGTATAAATGAAGCTAATTACTATATATATTGAATTATTATTATTATTTGTATTTAGTACAGGGTCTAAAGAGTCTCACTACACAGATAGGACTTGGAGTGATCCACCTGTTTTCAGCCTTCCAAGAGCTGGGATTACAGGCTTGTGCCACCATGCCCAGTCTTAATCACTGGGGGCAGGCTGGCACAAACCAGAGATCCCACTCCGGCCCATGCTCTGCCTAAGCAGCTGCTTTAGTCTGCTGAGTTATCTGGCCATCCCTTGAATTTTTTTTTTTTTTTTTTTTTTTTTTTTGACAGCAGAATGTGTACTTTCTGCAAGGATTTGAACTCTTCCCACTTACCTCTTCTCTATTTTGCTCTTTATCTGTGTATATCACCATTACACAAATATTTCCTTATGTGTGCTGCTGAAACTTTGAGGAACTAGGATTCCTAGTATTTAAATTTTAACATTTCTTTTATTCTTCATTATCTTGGCCTTCAAAATTTTTCCTGATCATTTTTTAAAATTTTCTTTCTTGATATTTTTTCTCTATTTGACATTTTTGATTTGCCAAATTTTTTCTATTCACTCTACTGTACATGTTACCTATTTATTCTGTATTTTAACTATCCAGTTTTTTTAAAACAAACTTTTGTTACATTTTTGTTATTACTTCATATTTTGAACTTTTTCTCTTTACCTTTTAATATATTTATTATTACTTTTACCATCTGTCTTCTGACTTTCTGCTTAGGTTGAAATCTTTAATCCATATATTATATTTTGTTTATTATTATTTGTTTTCTCAATGCAATTCTGTTCCGGCATTATTTCAATTTTACATGAGGCTGTTGCTTTGTCTGATAAGCTACGTGTATGAAGATGGACAGGTCTCAGGTACAATGGGGGGAAACCTTCAGGGGTAGAGTGTTGGCACTCCCTCTTCCAGGTCAGGGAAGTTTAGACACTAGAGAACAAGTCAGCCCCTCCCTTGCCACCCACAGACGGATCTCAAGTCAGACCTCCATATTTTGTCCCCAAAGAAGCAGCAAGAGCTCTTAGATGTCATCGTCTGTATTCTGTGTTTAGAGGGATTATGTGACCAATCTTCTACAGAGACCTGCCAGGTTCACTCCCCCGGCCACTCCCTGCAAGGGCTCCTCTATTACTCTGATTTTACTCTTGAGTTCACCAAGGTTCGGCTCACTCGCTGAAGAGAAAGTGGGCTCCTCAGAGCACTGTGGGCTCAAGCCAGAGCAGTGGGAGAGCATCTTCTGTTCCTCCTTTTCTCTCTCATAGACTTGTGGAGCTGCCCACACACCAAAGTCCAAAAGCTGAGCCCACCTCCATTCCCACAGCTTACCAGTGGTTTCTTCCAGTTCTCTCTCCAGTTCTGGGGGTGAGGACAGGGATGCCACATTAGCAACTGTCACAAAATCACTGAGTTTTTTTAAGAAGGTGAAATTATGTATTTTCCATTAAATGTATTTAGAAAAGTTATTAGGTTGAATGGGGCCTCAAATCCCCCTTTATTATAAAAACTAATTTTACTTAGGCAAGTTGTCCTTCCTTTTATCCTCCATATTCTATGTTTTAAGAAGGAAGCAGAAGTCTAAACAAACATCCCCTGTGGCTTTCGTGATGAAACCCTACTTCATCATCCCACGGACTGCTCCCGGTAAAGGTTGAGGTCACTGGAGTTGTTCCCCGAGGAGAGTCACAATCTGAAGAGAAATTAGAGGACTTGAATATATTTGCTACTCGGCATTATTTTCAGTTCTAACAAAATAGAAGGGGCAAGAGGCCGAGTCTGGCAGATAAGCTGCGAAAACTGTCTGAGATTGGTATGTCACTGAGAACCACAACGAGCTAAAGCAACCCAACTCATAAGAAGGTCAACGTCCAGATCGCTGGTGTCACCGCATGCTGGTTCCGGCACGTCTGCGCAGAAGAGTTGGACGTTGACACCAGCTCAGGAGCCATTGTTCCACCACTCTACAAGGACACACTCTACATTGATTTTATTAAAATTATATGTTATTTTACTGCTTTTTCTCTTACTCCAAGCAAAGTAAATTGCAATTAAAATAATGGTAAAGGCAAGAAAATAAATATTATAACTACTTTGATTAAAAAAAAAAATCAAGGGCCTGCTAGATAGCTAAAGCACCTGCTTAAGCAGGCTCAGGGACCACCCAGTGTGCCGTGCCTGTCCCCTCCCCAGGGTGTGCTAAAATGGGGATTGAGACTGGGCGTGGTGGCAAACGCCTGTAATCCAGGCATTTGGGAGGCTGAAAACAGGAGCATCACTGTAATCCCGGCATTTGGGAGGCTGAAAACAGGAGCATCACTTGTATTTTTTTTTAAATACATTAAAAAAAAATCAAGATTTGTGGAGATGGATCTACAGAAAAACAAATAGATTTAAGACATTCAAGTATTTCTTTAGGTCCACTTTTTTGAAGTCTCTTTTTTGAGAATCCCATTATTGAGATTTTAGCATTGGTACTACTATCCTCCAAATTTGGAGACAATCAAATTTTCAACTGAGATTTCAAGAACGTATAAATCTAATAGTTGTTCAGAAATATAAAATGTAGCCCAAATAGTATATATGAATCCTTTACTATAAAAATAGGAAATTAACTCTTGAATTTGCTCAGGAATGTTTTCAGTAATCAAGCTATTGTTTGGTTTCTGAATTCATATTATGCAGCTCAACTAGAAATATTTATTCCTGAGCAACACTCCAAGTTACTGGCGAAAAGGCTTGAAGGAAATCCTAACTTGAGCCCACATCTTGCTCCTTGGTGGGGTTCTTTGCTGAATGTATGTGACCCGTGTGTGGGTTGGAGCATTCGGCTGATTGACTATGCAGAAAACATTGTTGTTACCCAAGGGAGAGTCCAGGAAAAGGGTGCCAACAGGCCCTATAACTTGACTCAATAGCAATGCCTGCCTGAAAACTTCTTTCTGGTCTCAGAAGAAAGAAGAACTATGCTTCCTCTGATCCATTGGTTTAACTGGGGACAAAGGGCTGGTTAATTTTACTTTGTTTATATCATTTTACTATCATGGGTTGTAGTGTGTTTGGTCTTGCTTTATGGGCTCTGTGATGTTTATAGTAATCCTGTTTATCTCTCTTGTCTGTTTACATTTTGGTTTTAAGTAGCCTGGAGGAAAGTTTAGCTCCCACACCTAAGCCTGTAGGACTAGGTGTCCTCTATTTTAAGGATCTCATGTGACCCATGGCTTTCTGATATCTATGACTTCCTTATTTTCTAATTTTCATCACTGTCCTTTTTCTTGTGTATTATACTTGTTTGAAGTTTCCCAAAGTTGTGTATGTAAAAATAGGTGTGTATGTCCAAATGGAGAGTGGACTGCATAAACACTAAAGTCGCTCAAAACAACATAAAATTTGATTTGCTGCAGTCCTGATCATCTTCTTGTAATTCCCTGAACCTACAAGGCCTTTTCTGGAAGTGTGACTAATATTAACCCCACTACCCTAGAAAGCTAATTTTTTCTTTTTCTTCTTTTTATGCTTAGTAAACTGCCTATATTTACTGCCTTAAATCTATAATTTAAGATTCAAATGGCTTTTTCCTTGATAAAACTCTCATGTCTTCTTCTGAAAAACAGTTCTTCTGTGCTTCCTCATATTCACATTTTAGTAATTATCTTTATTTCAGCAAATATTTTATCCCTATATTTACCTGTGCCAGTCATTAGAGTTAAAGTAGAAAACAGGAACAACAGATTAATTTTTCTATCACAAATGTAACCATACATTCTACTTGTAACTGTACATTGTACATGTTTATATTAAAGAACTAAAGAAAATAACCAGGCAGCACTTTGATCAGTGACTCTTCATTATTTGATTTACTGAACATGTGTCACTTTCCAAGTGTTGTGCTGCTTGTAAGTGACACAGCGGGTGGGGCAGAGGAGAAGTGCTTGCCATTAATGGATGCTCAGAAGGGCGAGAGATTCCACTGCAACATCAGATGAATTTCTCTAGACACAACGCACACAAAAATAAAGTGTTACTGGAGATAAAATAATAGAAATTCTGCACTAAAATCTATAGTACTCTATGTTACTTTCAATGCAAAATAGTTTCGCAGCGGGCAATATGATTGTCTCATGTAGACTAACAGCTTGGATTAGTTGAGTCTGAGTCTTTGCTCTAATAATTAGCAGCTGTGTGATGAAGAGATAAAGCAGCTATTTTCATCTTCATCTCAATTTTCTTAATTATAAAATGATGATAGTGACTTGTTGCACGGCATAGTTGTAAAGATTGAGTGATTTGATCCAGAAGTTTGATCTGAGACCTTAATTTACCATACAAGGAAGAAACTCACTAGCTATATGCAGAAAAATTCTAAAAGCCTATCACAGGGGGAATGAAAGACCAATAAAACAAAGGCTCATCTGTGGGGTACATACAAACAGTAAATAAGTCTTTCCCCACATGTACTTCATGCTCAGAAGGGGCGATTCTCTATCTAGGATAGGATTCTCTATCGAGAGGCCCTTGAGCCTCAGGAAGAGTCATCCAGGCCAGCCAAATAGCTCAGCAGATTAAAGTGCCTGCAAGTGGGGACAGGGGCTGGGTGTTCGATCCCTGGGCCTGCTATGCTGGTCCTGCCATGGGGACACACTGAGACAGCAAATGAGACTGAGAAGGGTGGTGTGCGTCTATAAGTCCAGATCTTGGAGGATCACTATGAGTTCAATCTAGTAGTGAGACCCTGGACACCCTGTAGACCCTTCCCTAAAATACAAAACAAAACAACTCAAAAAGGAATAGTGGGCCGGGGAGATGACTCAGTGGAATAAGTGCTTGCCTGGTAA